CATCGATGAAGGATCAAACTTTGTTACACGCATACTTTTTCTAATTTTAGTGTCAAATGATTCAGAATGATCTGAAACATTGAGCAAACATAAAATTAGCAAATCCGACTTTCTGGCGAAACAGAAACTTTATATTACTCAGAAAGTTTATGAATCACACCAAATGTCATACCATAAGTCCATTTCCCCCCAGGTCTGGTTCACCCCGTCCAGTGATCAGCAACATTTCGATGACTTCCTTCCGTTTGGCCGACGGTGGCGCAAGTCCAGGAGCAGGGACAACCGTTGCCGATAACGCCGAAGTCACCGACAGCATGTTGATGAATGTGGCGCACTTGGATATGAGGAAGCAGCACGAAGAATATCAGCAAATGTTAAAGGATTATCAACAACAATTGATGGAATATCAGAGGGCGCAGATTGAAAATCAGCTGAAGAAGCGGCAGCCGAGCGCACCTAGAGGTAAGGGAAAGGCTAGGCTTTTTATGGAATTTGGAATCAGGAAATAAATAATATAAGAGAAATGATTAAAGTTTAAAAGTAGTATAAAATAGGTTTCATGTTAAGTATAAAGGGTAGTTACATGAGTATTACCTGAAAATTGGTTATATGTGCCCATAATTATGAAAGTGGTCTAAGTCAATATTAAAAAAAAATGAGTTTATCAGTTATTTCATACCACATTAGTTTAAACTAAATGTATTCAATGTAATTTTTACGAAATTGTCAAAAATGAACCATTAGATAGTGGTTGTAATTTCAACATTATATGGAATTCATTTAGTGTTAATTATGAAAGTGGTCTAAGTCAAAAATTTAAAGAAATTATATAAACATTTTGAAAATGGCACGTGGCCTTCTTTTTGACGCGTTTCTGGACATAGATTAACAAGTATAAATAGATAGCAAACTGGACCGCTTTTCTATTATTTTAATTTTAATTTTCCGCTCCTGCTACAGAGGCGCGACGAGTGTAGCATGAAAATTTACCCCTAGGTTCAATTCTAGATAAATCCAAATCCTTAGGTTTAATTCTAAGATAAATTTATATATAATATTGTTCAAATTCAATGGATGAGATTCTTGAAAAATAAACCTTATAAAATGTTTTATAAAACTTTATTAGATGATTTTATATTTCACGTTTTGGATCTTTCACCTAAAAGAGGAAGGCCAAAAATATACGGAAATATTAAATTACTTCAATTATACACCAGCATTAGACAAGTATCGGAATTCAAACTTTAAAAACAATATTATCATATGAAATTCACGCAAAATTTCATATTCATAATAAATTTCCATTAATTAAGACTAATAAAATTAAAAATTAAAATGTCGCATAATGTAAAAATATTTTTTAATTTATTCAAATGCAATTCATTAAATATCTTGAAACAAGAAATATATGACTTAGACCACTTTCATAATTATTGGCACATATAATCTGAAAGTATAATATTAACAACAAAGTTTACAAATTTTTGTCAGGCAATGTCTTCATGGAGTATTATTTTTTTCATTTAATAAAATTAGTTTATATCAATTTATAATATTTTATAAATTTACTGAAACTATATTTTAGTCTAAGTTGGCTTGATTTATATTGTTGACATTTTAGTGATGGTGCTGAAGAAGGAAGGATTTGAAGAAACTTTAAATAAATCAGCTAATCGATCTCCTGAGTGTGAAGCAGATGTCATATTGCGGCAAATTAAGCAAAGAGTAAGTAATCATAAATATTATCTTTCATTTGGTACTCGGTTCAAACTCATAATATAAGTAATCTGATATCATGCGATTGTTATACCTAAATATGGATCTGGTTTTAATTGAATATAACTCTATTTCACTAGTTGAATTTGCGATTGGCCATCTTCATTTGAAGTTTACGTTCTGTTTTCTACGTTTTATGTCTATTTTCAATGTTTTATGTTTCATATTCTATGTTACATTCTATATTCTATGTTTTGAATTTTGTATTTTTTATTTCTCTTTTAATTTTTTTGTACTTTGGGTTTTACTTACTAAATTTTACATATATATATATATATATATATATATATATATATATACTGCGCTTTACATATTGAGTTATATATTTATGATATATAACTAGGTAATTATATATAGGTTGTCTTTATATGTTTGTGAAAGAAAAAGGTTATTAAAGAAAAAGGTAATTATATATTTCTAATTAAAAATATCTCTTAAGAGATTGTTGTGACAAGATAGATTACAAAAATGTATAAGAAGTTTGTGATCCACCAAGATGCTGCCGAACTCTATTAAAAATTACACTTTGTTTATATTTTTGAAGTACGAGATATATTTAGATAATGGCTATATCAGACCGATTAAAAGATGATCAGTAGTTTAATTGTTGTATATTTAAATGAAATAATACGATGTTAAGATTTATAGATGATATGTTTACTAGTTGAAGTTTGAATTAGATGAAATTTAGGATATTACTAAATTACAAAGATTTTACAATTTTACATTATGTTTCTGGTTGGTTTGTTTTTGTGGGTTCAAGCGACATCCCATTACATTTTTTACCAATCAGGTATTAACCGGTGATTCCATGGTACGTGGAATTGAACCGGGTATAGGTGATTAGAGGTTCTTAGAAAAATGAATTAATGGTATGATGATAGATTTGGGGACAGGATGCATGACAATGAGAGGGTTTATTATTGCTATCCTGTATGAAGGTAATAAAATATAATAATATTATTCCGCCAGGCTTAAGTAATGCGTTAACAGAGATTAACAATTGTTGTACTAGTTCAATTTGTGATTGACATCCATTTTAAATATTTAATTATAAAATTTATATTTTTTATTCTATATTTTGCATTTTGAATATTTTTTTTAATTTTATATTCTACTTTTCTTGTACTCTACATTCTACATTTTGAGTTATACATTTTTTAACTTCACGTAGGGTAGATATACTAATGGACCGAAAATCAAAAAATGAAAATTTTGCATTTCTCGACGTTTTAAAGGTTTCTGAATATTTTGGCATACCTCAGAAAAAATGGATTTGTGTGTGTGTTTTGTATCTGCATTTTTTCGTTTACGTTTTCGGGCGCATGGAAAAATATTCGATTCCTGTTGATAGGGAGATGTGCTGATTAGTTTTTGCCGAAGGCATGTCCAGCCGTTACGGAGATCAAGAGCAGAGAGTGCAGAAAATAGAATTCTGGTTTTTGAGAGAACGGAGCATCCGATTTGAATGATCTAAAAAACATTCAATTTGTAATGATTGGGAGAAAATGTGATTAGTTTTTAGCAAAGGCAGGTCCAGCCATTTTGAAGATACAGAGCTAAATGTGCAAAACATGGCAGTTTTTGTGAGAACTAAGCGTCCGATTTTAATTATTCAAAGAACTTTCTGCTTGTTTTAACAAAATAATTGCTTTTGGGAAAAAAATTGTACCTAATTTTTTTTTCAATTTTTTTTTTTCAAGAATTTTTTTTTATACATTGAAAATAATTCAGATTTTAATTTTAATTCTGACTAAAGTTCTAATATACTTTAAATAAATAATTCTAACTTTGCAATTCAGTTTATATAATTCTTATAAATATTAGACAATGTTACAATATTTATAATAATCTCTTTGAAAACATTTAATATTCCTCGATCTTTTCGTTACGGTACGGGAAGTTCCAGCAATTTGACTTAAGGCACGATGACACCATTAGTTATTCTATATTTTCACTATACAGCTATCAAAATTTCTGGATCTTGAAATTTTTGAACATTTGAATATATAATAAAATTGATTTTATTAAATTTTTAAGTTACATCAAAGACACCTACACGTTTATTTTGTTATTTGGAAACGCGACAATGACGAAACCGTTACGTTTTTGCGTAATTTGTAAAAGTAACAAAAACGAACCCGTTACGTTATCGCGCAACATAACAGGCCGTTAGGTTTTTGTGGTGAAAAGAGTATGTGTGCCTTCTAGGTTACGTAGCCACTATGTTTGATGTAACACCTGTTACGTTATATTAACGTTTTAATCACGTTGTGGTTTACTGGGTCGGTTTAATTTTTTGAATTTGGTATTCTACATTCTACATTTCTCTATTCTATTCTCATTCTACTTTTTTCAAGTTACAAATTCTATATTACAAATATAGTACAACTACAAATACAGTATTCTTCATGTTAAATTCTTCATTATTAAATATTATAATCATATATTTTATTTTACATTCTGAATTTTCTATAAACTTTATATTTTATATTCTACAAGTTATATTCTATATTTCACATTCTTTTTTTTACGAGTTTCAGTATCTACCAAACTATTAGTTCTAAATTCTATATTTTAATCAAGAAATGTTCAATACCAAACATTCCTTATGGATCTGCCTTAGGAAAAAACAACTATCATTATTTATTTATTTGTTTATACGCCTGTCGGTTTTATGTGTAATTATATTTCTCTTAGATTTAAACAATGGAGTGGATTTTTCATTACATCACGTTGGTTTCTGTTACTCAACTTACTGAACATCTTTTAATATAGTAATACTGATGTATTTTAATTAGTTATAATTTATTTAATATGTCCCAAAATAAATATGTTTTTTCTCTTTCAGTCTACGCATGGATCATTCGACCCACGATCCACTCTATTGTCTGCTGTTACACCAGCTCTGTATGGATCGCAACAATATTCGCAGGCTGTGTCAAATGTCCCAATGTGCAGCAGTTTTGGGCTACAAGAATCACCTAATACTAATTCGTTGGCTGTCCAAGAAAGCTTTAAGGTAAAATGATCCTAAATGAAACAAATACATTCAACCAAAATTCGGTCGATCTTTCAGAATGATCCTAGTACCAAGGAGCAACAATCGCCTACCCCTAACGTTAAAGCAATAGGTAATTTGCATGAAAAATCTTTAGCAAACTCACTTCCACCCAATGTTCTTTGTAAGCGTGCATCTCCTTCTGAAATTGATCCTTACAGTGGTGTAGGAAAGGACTCGAGTAGTCCAACTGTGGCTTCAGCACCTTGCCCTTGTGCTCACCGAGGTAATATTGTGATCTGATTATTTAATTATTAAATAATAGAGCTTAACAGTTTCCAATAATGTTTGCTTTTTACAGGTGGTGAAGATCCGCCGCCTCAATCACGCCGATATCCCCAACAGCATGCTGGTAATCAAGATCGTTGTGGCCACCATCCACAACAACAAATGCAACATGATATGCAACGAAATCGCCATCAAAATCAGTCGCATAAATTTAACGCCAACGAATACCCTCTAAAGGAAAATCAAGATCAGCATTCACATCAACAAACACAGCAACAACAAGATCAGCATCCACATCGACAAACACAGCAACAACAAGATCAGCATCCGCATGAACATACCCAGCAACAACATTATCATCAAAATCAATTACAACATCATCAAATGCAGCACGAGAATCAAATGAACCCGCAACGGGAATTTCAGCATCCGTCGCAGAATCAATTTCATCATCCATCTGCTCATCATGATAGTAGTATGCATAATCAAAGTTTTAATAGGAATCAGCATCAGCATCGATCTTATGATGCCAACAACTTACATCATAATGAGCAACAGCAAAATACATTCCATGGTAGCGCTCATCACCATCAACAAAGGAATAATTCTAAACCTAATTTTGATGAAGTGCTGCGCAACCAACAGTTGCATCAACGTAATATGAATCCAGCACACCCACCGAAAAGTAATCACCAACCGAATCGATTGCATTACGCTGAAAATCAAAATAAAGACAACGGGTCACATCATCCTGAAAGCGCTTTGCACAATAGGGGCAACAGACAACAACATGTACCTAATGTTCATCAAAATAATCCCACCCCTTCTCCACAAACAAACAAAACTTGTACTAATCCATCATGCGGTCAGCAGATACCACATCAACACGATCAACAAAATTACAACCAGCCAGATTTCCAAAAACGGCAGGTACAACCTCCCACTACACCTGATATCCAGAAACCCAATCAGCAATGTCCTGTGGAGACTTGCCCAAAATCACCTACTCATCTTGAAGACCAATTACCTTCTAAAGACCAGCAGCGTTTACACCAGGAAGCGCAACAACTCAACCAGCGCGTTTTGGATATAACTAATCATGCTCATGATAATAACCATATGCAACACCAGGACATGAGACCACACGAATGTGAACACCATGATGAGAACTTTGATCAAGGTCAAAGTCAAGGCCATGAATGCCCTCATATGGGTAAAGAAGATTGGAATGCTGGGGTTTGTCCACATGATGGTCACGTTCTTCCTGATCATCACAATAGTAATTTACCGTGTCATGATGATGGTTTGCATCATGAAGATGATGCTCATCCGTGTTATCACAATGATTGCTTGCATCACAATGATTACCAAGATCATTGTCATGATCAACAGGTAGCCCATCCCGTCCAGCATGGGCAGCAGAATGATTCACATGTTTGTGATGGTAATTGTCATCATCAAGATCAGCAATATGCGCACCACCAACCGCGTCAAAATTATCATGATCAAGTGAGATAACACAAATAATTTCAATATATTTTTATATATGTTCACAAGAGAATATTTTGTTATTTCAGGTGCACAGTCCCAATATGAGAACCCGTGCTTCCGGATCTGATTGCGAATGCCAGCATTCTCCATCTCACTCTCCAATGCATTCACCAGAGTCAGTTTTAGAATCGGAGATTTGCCCTGCTATAGGTTCCTGTGCAGAATTGGAACCGTATCCTCAAATTCCAATTCGACCTTCTCTTGCGTCACCTCGAATCGGAAAGAATGTTTCTAGTAGACCGACTACGCCTAGGGATAATGTAAGTTGTCCTAGATAAAAAAGAGCTGATGAGCAAACTAACAGAAGCTAAAAAAGCACTACTTCAGTAACGAGCAAATTGAATTTGGTAGTGATGAACAAATATTGATAACTAAACTAAATCAAATTGAAAGGAGTTTACAGACGAGCAACCTTAAACAAAATCAAAAGCAAGCCTGAAAGCAAATTAACTAAAACTAGGTTGAAACAGAATTCTACTGACGAAATTGTTGCCAACTTTCAACGCGAGTATTAATCAAAATTCATTGAATGGCTTTTAATTTTTTTTCAAATCGAATAATCCGTTTTTGAGGATTCGTCGAGAAAATTCCAAACTTCGGCTCAAATACATACAAACAATCACATACTTGCAAATGTCGGTGACAACTGATTCAGATGACTTGAAACGTCTAGAAAACATCAAATGATCAAATCTGATTTTTCGGCGAAAACCAACTTCTCATTTCGGAAGTTAAAAATAAAATAATATGATAAATGTTCTTATTTAACTTCTATTCTTTCCTCTGAAGATGGATTTGCATCAGAGACCCACCAGACAACGTCCAAGCCAGCATTCTGCCAGACAACATATGCAGCAGATGATAAATGCTGCTGCGCCAGTCACACAAAAGTTCGGAGGAGGAAGAGTAACGCCGAGAACTATGGAAAAGCCTGCTGATTCAGTCTTGCCTGTGCCTTTGCCGTTTATGGCTGAAAATTGCAGGTGAAAAACATTATCAAATAAACTTCCAAACTTATTGTACTAAGCTTGAGAAAAAGATAAAGTAAGCGGCTTTATTTTTTTCAACTTTCTAATATAGCCATCATAGTTTTCTTATTTACTTATTTTATTTCATTTTTATTTTATTCTAATCTATTCAGTGCTACTACTACTGGCAGGTGCAGGGGGGCCCACGACAAATGGCCGCCACCGCATTCGGCAGCTGCTGCAGCAGTACCTGGTAGACGACCTTCAAAACTCTTTGGGATGCCGCAGAAGAGACCCTACACTCCTCCGTTGCCGCCAGCAAATTTGGACATGTATCTGCCTCCTAAATGTAATAAAGAAAATACATTTTTATAAATTAATGTGATATTTTTATTATTTTTTTTTTGCATTCAGCTCCTATGCAAACGAGAAAGACTTCTTCTGCAAACATTAGACGTCGCAGATCTAATTCTATTGGAGGACCTCTTGCAGCAATAGCAGGAGTGCCGAGAAAAGTTCCTTCGAACACGAGCAGGAGATCTGCGCAGGGGCCAAAACGTACATTGTCCAACACCAGCAGAAGGTAATGGATGATGACATTCAAATTCAACTATATTTTTAATTTGTTGGTAATATTACTCACATATTATTAGTGAATAAGATTGCTCTTAAGATAAATGATTTTACCTTACATTAGGAGAAGAGTTATAAATATACATTCAACATTATCAATGTCATATGTATGTTACATTTCAATATTTGCATTATCTTACTTTACATTTTAAGATATAAAACTTAAATTTCAAATTATATGTTTTAAATTCAAAATTTTTTACTATTATATTTCAATTCATTTTCAAAAAATTGTTTATAAACAACAAACTAAGAAGGAGCTCTGAGGATGCACTTTCTTTATTTTATTCTTCTTCCTCAGATCTTGGCACGCCACAAAAAATTCTGCGCATGCAATTCGACACAAGTCTTCTGCAGCAAGCCGCGGAGGCTACTCTCCGCCACATGACCATGACCACCAGCATCACCACTGCCCCGAAGTCGAACACGACCGCTGTTTGGAAAACGGTCATGCCTGCTGCGCCGACAACGAATCTCCACAGTGCCCAGACAACAACCGCGTTAAGTGCTCCGATCACTGCAGCAGCCCAATCGATCATCACGTACCTTCAGGCCATTCTTCACCGAACAACAAATCACCAAGAGGTATTCAGAAACTAGCAGGTGGTCAAGAAAGAGGTAAACCAGTGGTTCAAACTGACAAAAAAATTGAGAGTTGTGAAAATAGTCTGAATTTGAGTCCAAGTTATTATCAAGGTTATCAGAAATCGCCTCCCTCAGCAGAGTTGGGTAAAAATAAAACTAGTTATAAGTCCATAGAAAGTCCTAAGCAGTGCGGAAATAAACCCTTGACCAAGGGCCAAAAGATCCAGATTAATTTGGAGCATATTATACAAGGGAGGAAGTTAGGTCCTAATTCTAAAGCGGAAGTTGAAGCATGTGAATACATTCCAAGAAAGACTTCAAAAAATAATAAACCACTTTGCTCAGGATGTGATCAGGTAAGTACAAAATATTGACATCAACTTTTATGTGTTATGATAATATATTGTGTATTTAGGCTTGTTCACCTGGTTGTCCACTATCGCCCACTCATCATGAGTCTCCCCCATGTTCTCCCAAGGCCAATGATAATAAATTCCTAAATCCTCAGGATTCATGTAGGCCAGGAACTCAGAAAACATATAGACCAGGACCTCATGAATATCATAATCCAGAGATTCACAATCAACAAGAATGTCATAACTCGGGATGCAAAGAATGCTGTCATCAGAATCAACAACAACATCATCCAAGTAAATAGAATTTTGATGAAAATTTTCTGACTTTTTTATTGAAGTTGGTTCCTTTTCTAAATTGCAATAAAATTTTCTGTAGGTTATCATGGACAACCAAATCACCCAGCTCATTCAGCTCACCACAACCAGCCAAAGCGCGATGGTAATTACCACCCAAAAAAGCACAACGCCATGACTTCACCTTCACATCCGCATCAAGAATGTAAACATCAAGAAGACAGGTACTAATACACATACACATACCAAAAAAACTTAAATTCTAAGCATACCTTTTATTCTTCATCAGATATTGCTCCCCATCGCACTCACAACACGTGATGCCTTGTGAAAATGAACACAACCACAAATGCCAAGGTTGTGACTCTTGTGCTTACGATCATTTTCATCAGAATTCTTCCTCAAGAGGTTATTCTCAAGGAGCTTCTCATCAATGTTCGCATGATTTATTGGAATCTTATGATGATGATGCAGAAGCACTCATGTTGAAGTGTTATGATCATTTGGAAGGATTGGCTGCTGGTGGACAGCCTAAGAGGATAAATTCTTATGTGGGGTAATGAATATATAGAAGTCTTATCTTAAGATACAACATTTCAAAATATCATTATGTTTACTTTGCTGCCATATTTATTATCTGATATATTTATTTTTATTTGTGATTATTAAAGGGAAACTCCAAACAATTCTAGAGATTTATCCTCGTGCAGGCCACAGATGATAGATTTGAACTCTGAAACCTCTTCTTTTGAATCACAAAGTGTGAGTTATATAATGTATTAGTTATTGAGTTGAGTGAGATAATTATAAAAACTTGGATTTAGGTGACTTCCTCAAGATTTTTTTTGGTTATTTGATGATGAACAGTAATAATCCTTTAAAACATTAAATTAAATAATATAAAATTAGATCTTCTTACTTCTTACTAAGTTTTTACATTTATCTAAAGCCGTCAAGAAACTTAGACAGCATCTTAATTAGGGGTTATCTATATTATATGGCGCATTGATGCATTTTTTATCTATTCCCCAGATGTCTTCCCCTCAAACCAGATCCTCTAGTGGACCATCCCAGAACATCTGCCCCTCTCTTGGGGAGGAGGACCGATCATTTCCCGAGCCATGATCCGGACGTCTTCGGGAGATATGCGCAGACGCTCTTGGCGCTCCTCGTCCTGTCATAGGGATCAGCATGACGGCAAAGCTATACTGGTGAGGGGTACACCTTTACCGCCCTCGCCAAGTCCTGATGGGATTTACGACGCCTGATACAGGTGTGCCGTCATCGGATTCTGATTTCATAAGGTAAAGGAAAGTCAGTATTATTATAATTTATGGATAGGTAGATAGACAGAATTTAGGTTTAATCCTGTGGCAAAAAAGATGATAGTCACAAAGACTGCACAGCAAACATATCATTTTCACAGTTTTTAGTAACAGGAAAGATTTATGGTTAGTTTATGGTCTATATAGCTGAAGAATTGGCCTGTGAATTTTTTTTTTTGCACTTCTTGCCCTGTATCTTGAAATATCTGGACCTGTCTTTGTCAGATCTCCCATCAATAGCAATCATTTTTGAATCATTTCAATTGGTTGATGCTCTTTGAAAATTTCTATAGGATCACAATATTTAGCAATTACGGAAACATATATATTCTTAAACTATATTTCTGGAATCTTTTAGTCATTCAAGGTAGGTGCAAATGCAGATATTTAATCTGGAAGCAGATGATTTGCTGTGGTTTAATACATCACTCACACTTATCAAAATTCATGATTTTTTACCTATTTGTCTATTATCAGGGGTCAACTCAGAGTAGTTGAAGAAAACTTGAAGAAGAACAAGTCACGCCTGTCCCAAAGTCGCAATAGATCCAGCATGCTCGCCAACTTGGAAGATCTATTCTCTAAACGACCACCAATGGTGGACTCATCATGCTCTGCTGAAAACTTAGAAAAACTGACTCCTAAAAAACCAGAAGCTAGATCACCTCCTGTAGTCGCTAGAAAGAATATTACCACTGAAAAAATTATACAAGATTACTTTGATTCCCAAAAATTGAACCCTAATGTCCGATTAGTTAAAGAACCCTTAAATGATACACGTCCGAAAAATGTAGCTATAAAAATCA